AAATCCAGTCAAACCCAAATCCAAATCCAAGTCAAACCCAAATCCAAATCTAGTCAAACCCAGTCAAACTCAAATAAAGAATTGGATTTGGGTTTGACTAGATTTGGATTTGGTGCATGCCTAATATAATATAAAAGTTATTAACATTTATAACGCATAGACATGCTATATATATTATAGAAAAAATTCAGTTCATTGTTTTTACTTCGTCACAAATTTCGTTTTTAAAGCTTTGTTGCATTGTATTGCTAATTGCAAACCTTGATAATGAAGTACAAGTGCATTACAATGTATAGTTATGAATTGCATGTTACTTGTTGTTCAATTTTAGTATTCAATATGCGTGTCTTAACAATGATTGCTGACACGTCGTTTGGTTTAAGGAGACTCGCTCTCCCTTTTCACATATTCTGAAGAACAGCTTATCAAAAATATTTGAAACTTTTAAAGTGAATAGGTCTCGATGAGTAGAACAAAATTTGTCATAGACTCCAATATTTTATATACTTTCTTCTAGGATATGGTTGGATCGAAAAGACAAAAAATTGCCTCACTTTCTCAGTCGCAATAAGTTTGCTAGAGCTAAAATATTTTCTACAGATTCGAGACACTGTTTGAGGTGCCTACTTATTTTGGTTTCTATTAATCTCCTTTCATTTGAACAAAGAGATCAAAAATATTCAGCGTATCTTCAAAAGTACATGTTTTCTTCTACTAGGATTTTTTGTAAAATCTGTCAAAAATTAACGGTATAATATTTTTTAAAACAAAAAGAATTGGACGCATCGAGCAGTGTTCAGTATTTGTTTAAAAAAGTTTCAGCTCGATCAAACGAACTATATCGAAGAAACAGAAGCGACTCTGCATTTTTTGTGTACGAATTGATTTCGTGAAAAACAAAAAACCAGATTTTCTTGTATGTGTCAGGACTTTTTTGATTCACAAAAGTGATCGAAAACTGGTCGTGCTCAGCAATGTTAGAGATTCATGATCCATGCTATTAGTGCCTGTAGAAATTATCATTAGGAGACTATTGTATACAAAGAATAATTACAGCGTGAGTTTTTCTGCTAGGGCTTTCGAGAGTTGGGTTTAATAGAAGGATTAACTAACAATGGAGAGTCCTGATTTATATGACATTTGAGAGAGGACATTTCGAAGCTATATCAGTGATGAAAAGCTAAGAATTCAAAAAAATTTTGATTTGAAAATTCTGTAAGAGAGCAATCCTCTTTAGTCGGATTACAATATAGGTTCTGTTCAACCAATGACCATTCGAGAATGAGTTCTTTAAATGAGTGATCATTACCGAATTGAGAACAGACCCAGGTGAAAGATCATCGAATGTAACCGAATCGAAAATTGCCTAATCAAATCATTAATTTCAAGAATAAGAAATTTAATTTTGATTTAATATTATTTTAGGAGATATGGCTGAATATGACAAAAAGAATAATACCTTTCGTATACTTGGTCGATCATCTGTTGATATTATTAAATCTGGTGGTTATAAAATATCAGCATTAGATATTGAAACAGTTATTCTTCATCATCCATTTATCAGTGAATGTGTAGTTATTGGTGTGAAAGATTCAGAATGGGGAGAACGTGTTACAGCTGTTGTTGTACTTCAGTCAGGCAAAAAAGAAAAAGATTTAACACTTGAACAATTACGAGATTATTGTAAAAAGAAATTACCTGGTTATCAATGTCCAACACAATTAAAAATTGTTGATAAACTTGAACGAAATGCTGTTGGAAAAGTAAATAAAAAAGAATTAAATGCAAAACTTTTTCCACCATCATCTAACGACAAAAAGTAAATCAATTTATTTACCTATGATGATCTTATAACTTCAATCTTTTGACTTTTGTGAATTAATAAGTTTTAATTTATCATCTTAGTATCAGTTTATTTTGTTTTTCTTTAGAATAAAAAGCTAAACTAAGATTCGTTGTCTGTTTTTTTTATTACATAAATCAATAGTAGATTTACTATTCCTAGTAAAGCAAATCATAAGTTTACATTGATAGACTCTTTTATGAATAAGAATCAGATATTTTTGGATGGACAATATTCTCAATTTACTTGTTAGCCACGTACTAGCTTATTTGCGGATAAATACTGTCTTCTTTCTTTCATCTATATTTGTTAATCGCCTTGCTAGCATACGTTAGCAAGATAATTGACAAAGGTAAATGAAAAAAAAGAGACAACCTTTAGCAACAAATAATCTAGTGTATGGCTACGTTTTATATACGTTCATGTCCAACAAGCCAATTAGGAGCATCACTCATTAGGCGAAGAATTATATATATATATATATTTGATTTATTCGAAATACTCTCATAAAATCGTTTTCATTGGACATTCTGTAAAGACTCGACATTTTATAAATATGTTCACCAAAAGTATCATTCAACAACAAAGCTTAAATAAACAATATAGATTTTTACTTTAAAAACGATCGTTTGTTGTTTTTTTACAGATGATTTATTCTCGTTTTGTTCTTCTTTCAATACGTAAATGTATTGTTCATATAAAACCTTCATTTCGTTTATCATCTACATCACGTCCTATTTATTATGACTCGGTTTCTCAATATGCAAATCAAGTAGCATTAATTGATCACTCATCTTCATATACTTATGGTCAACTTTATTCGGTTTCACGTAAACTTTCTCGTCGTCTTATGCCACTTTGTCAACAACAGCAACAACAACAAAAATCAACTGATGATGAACTTGATAAGCATAATGTACAATTTGGTATTTTATGTCCAAATGATGCGTCATTTATTATTGCTATGTGGGCTTCATGGATGGTTGGTGCAACTGCAGTTCCTCTATCATTACAACATCCACCATCATCACTTGCTTATTTTCTTAATGATGCACAATGTCGAGGAGTTATTGTTGGTGATGATCGTAGTAATGAATTAATTAAAATAACATTAGAAAATAATTCACAAATTGATATACCTATTATAAATATCAATAAAAAAAATTTATCAACTAAAGTTACATATGATGATATTAATGATGATCTTTTATTATCAACAACAATTGATCGTACGGAACGATCAAATGCTTTAATTATATATACAAGTGGAACAAGTGGTAAACCAAAAGGATGTGTATTAACATTTGATGCTGTTCAAGCATATATTGATTCAATGATAAAAGCATGGGGATGGACGAAAAATGATGGTAAAACTTATTTTTTAATAAACTTAGTTTATTAGTAAAATTTAGTTATGTTACATGTTTTACCACTTCATCATGTTCATGGTCTTGTAAATGCATTATTAACTCCACTTTTTATCGGTGCTAAAATTATCATGCTTCCACATTTTGATGCATCTAAAGTTATTGAAAAACAAAAATCGATTATTTTTCTATAATTTTTTTTTTCAAAATATTCTTATTTATTTAGACATGGGAATATCTAGTTCAACCTGGTTTTGAACAACATGTAACAGTTTTCACAGCTGTACCAACTATTTATTCAAAACTTATTCATAATTATGATACTAAATTAGCATCACGTCCTCAAACAAGAGATTTTGTTCGCGAACAATGTTCACAAATGATTCGTTTAATGATGTGTGGTTCAGCTGCATTACCTGAAAGTATTCATCGACGATGGTCTGAAATAACTGGTCATAGTCTACTTGAACGTTATGGAATGTCAGAATGTGGAATGGCATTAACAAATCCATTGCATGGAGAAAGAATTCCAGGTTTGATTTATAGTTATAAAGAATAAATAGAGAATATGATTTACAAGAGAAGTTCTTCAATTGTTCAATCACTTTTTAGTCGAGACCATATGCATTATGTAGATCCAAATGAGCCCGAAGTACTTTGAAAAGAGTTCATGCTCTTAACTTATTGCTGCAGAGATATTGCATTTTTACAGTATTTTTTAAATGAAATACTGTAATCCCTCCTCATGAATATTAGAAAAACTGTCTTTTTTTGACTTTCGACTTGAAACTTTGCATAGAGATAGACTTTAACAAGAGCAGTTTATTATTAAAGTTTCAGCTCTTTTGATTTACTTCTATCTTGAAATAATAACATTAAATATTCCAGGTTTTGTATGATCTATGTAAAAGATATGCTATTACCGTAGTTGTATCTTATGAGATAGGAGCATCGGCAAGATCTAAAATATTCACAAAAACTATTCTTGTTAAGGTCTGCCTTTATGCAACGTTTCAGGTCGAAATTCGAAAATCAATTTTTCTGATGTTTCTGAAGAGAACTACGGCATTTATTTAAACAAATATCATAAAAGTGCAGTATCTCTGCAGCAATAAGTTAAAAATACGAACACTTTTTAGAATATTCATAACTTATTTGGATCTACATAACACGGAGTCTCTAGTATATTATGTAGTAATCATTCCTTTTTGTTTTGTTTTTTGAATTTTGTTCTACATGAATTTTGATTTTTCGTCTAATGTACCGAATTCTTATTTTTTTTATTATAATTAGGCACTGTTGGTCGACCGATGCCTGATGTTACTATTCGACTTGTACAAGAAAATACAACATCACCAATGGGTTATGAAACATTATTGGAAGCTGATAGTAATAATACAAAAGTAGAAGTAAAAAGTGTGTTCGAAATTTTTTTTTTTTTGTATTGAAAAAAAGATTTCATCATTTATCGATGTTTCTTTTTGTTTTTAAGATACAGATGAACCAATTGAAGGTGAACTTTTAATTCAAAGTCCATCTTTATTTAAAGAATATTGGCGAAAACCTAATGAAACTCGCGCTACATTTACAACAGATGGTAGTTTTTTTAAAACCGGTGATATTTGTCGTTATGATCCAGAAAAAAATGTTTTCTCAATTCGTGGTAGACAATCAATGGATATAATTAAACGTGCTGGCTATAAAATATCAGCATTAGATATAGAACGTATTTTATTAGAACATAAAGATATTTCAGAATGTTCAGTTATTGGTATTGATGATCCGACAGTTGGTCAAAAAATAGTTGCTGTTATTGTACCAAAATCATTAAGTAATATAACTGATTTAACAATCGATACAATACGTCAATATTCTAAACAATATTTACCAAATTATTCTTTACCAGATTCTATAACTATTCTTGATCATATACCTCGAAATGCACTGGGTAAAGTTAATAAAAAAGAACTTGCCCGTTTAATTATTTAATATACACATGTAGATTACTGTTTTAAAAAGAAAGAAAGAAAAAAAATTCAAAAACAGACTACATTTACGACAAAAAAAAAATAATGATTGCATTAGACTAGAGTTTATGTCGATAAAAAAAAAAACAGTTAATAATTTATAAATTACTTGTCTTTGGAAATATCACTAATTGTCATTTTTTGATGTTGTCGTCGTGCTGTATAATACATAATACGTCGTATATCAAATTGAACACAGGTACGAGCTACAACAGAAAATAATTTATGATGAATTATCATAAATAATGTTTGATGTATATTAGCCCATAAACGATAATATCGACCAATAAATGGATCAAATTGAAATGGACATAGAACACCATTAAGATTTACCCATGTCAACTAAATAAAATAAGAATTAAATTTATAGAATAATTTGAAAAATAAAAAATAACAACAAAATATGCATACTAAAGAAATTGGTTGTAATACAAGATAATGATAGAAACGAAATGTAGCAATAGCTGATATTGTCCAGCGAAAAGATCCAACTGGTTCGAGACTATAACCTCCTGAAATATGAAGAGAAGAAAAACAAAAATAAATTAAAAAAATTTATTTTAGCCATCCAAATATATGAACCATGAGATGAGAGAAGAAAAACTGGTACAACTAAAATAAGAATATGTTGAATATAATAAAGTTCAACTTCAAATGGAAAAAGTCTTGTTGATGTCACTGGAAAATAAATTGCAAGTGTACCACCATTTAACATGCCAACATGTAAACGATAAAGTCCACGTGTATAATAATTTGATGAGAACGTTAGAAGTATAATCTAAATTAATAAAATTAAAAAAAAAAATAAACAAACTATATTTCTTAAGAATTAATTTTTGTTCAATTAAATATTTCTCTTTACAAAATATTCATAGGAAAGTATATAATATACAAAAATCGGATCAGACAAATTTGGATATAGTAATTTAGCATATATTTAAAGAAGTTAGTATCTGTTTATTTTATTTTCATGAATAGGAAAGATGTGAAAACGTCGGAATAAGAAGGGATAATTCGGAATATTGAAGAAAGATGCGATCCAATTCAAAGGATGTTCAGACGCAAAGCTTTTTGTAACATTGAAATCAGTGTTAAGATTTGTTGATAGTTTAAAAATCTTGTTGTTTTCAAACATTTGTCATTTGAAAGTTGAACTTCAAGAGTGACACATAAATTCAATCAGAACTTAACCCTTTCTTGCCTTTGATTAAATATGACGCTTTGGAAGGACAATTCGCTCAATAACATCTATCTTATAGCTCCTAATATACACAAGAAAAGTTCGAGCCAAATTCGCTAAGCATCAATATATTGAATACGTAATGTATTCATTATTCTTTTTTTTTATTTAAAAATAGTTTCTGAAACACTCACACCCATATAATGCTTGACTATCCATGTAAATCAACCATACACACATCTCGCAGATAGTCCACAGTAGATATAAAATCTGTTTCTCAATGTCTCACAGTTCAAGACAACCAAATTTTTATAAAAATGGTCTCTGTAGGGATCATAGAGCAAGAAAGATCGTTATCGACTCCTAGAAAATTCTACTCTTTCTCAGTCTTTTCTACAATGAACATTGGTTTTTTTACGTTTAATTCAAAAGCTGATTCATATTTTTGACATCTTCAATAGTAAAATTTTTAAATGCTTATATAGATTTTGATCATTGTAGACAATATTCAATCAAGTCCATTTTTGTGATAATCTTCTTAGTATAATTTTCGAAAAATTCGATTGTCATCGCTGAAGATAATAGAGCTTACGCGATTCAATGACAAAGTTGAATAAATGACTGTAAATTCTATTATTAAAAAAACTCAAAAGGTTTTAGAACACAATTGGTTAACGGCAAAAAATGAATCAAAATTCCCAAGGCATTATTAAATGACTTGGGAAATAATCATCAAATTTCTCGGAAAGGGAAAAAAGCTTTAACGGAAATATCCAAAAGCAAGAGACAGTACTCCTTGCCTCTGTCTTGCTGCTATTGTTTATAGCATAGTAATAAAAAAAAATACGAAGAATTTTTATTTACTTGTATTAATGTGACCATATGACATGGATTAAGTATATAAATAAGTTGACGTGATGCTAATTTAAATCCAATTTCTATGCCCCATAAAAGAGCGTAACATACAAGTACTAAACGTCTTAAAACACTTGGTCGTCCTTGACGTTCTCGTGCATATTCACGAGGAAATGATGTTCCTAATTGATTTTTTGCATGATAGGTCGCATAATAAATTTCCCATGAAGCAATAATTAGTGTAAGGGTTGTTTCAAATAAACGTTGACGTAATGTTGAATGTGCCGCACATTCAATACCTCCATCATCAGCCCATGGTTCGGTAGTTTTAGCCGAAAAATTAATACCTGCATATGCCCACTCAAGCATAACACTATCTAAAAGAAATTGATTTTTAATTTTATAAGAGAAAAATAAGATTGTTTTTTGTTTTTATTTGTCTCATTGTAAATCAATGAGACAAATATATTTATTTGTATTCTAAAAACAAACAAATAACAACATTCTTATCTCCTCTCTCTCTCTCTCTCTTTACCAAAATCAAAAAAATTTGTTTTTTTTTTATTTACTAATTACAAATCTTCTAAATGTGTATCTTTATTCTCAGGATTCACTGGTTGTATTAGTTTAACACCAGGTATATCTTGACCAAAAAACCAATTATATTTTGTTGGAAAATATTCTGCATGAAGACGATTTGCAGTTCGATCAGCATGTAAACGAGCAACAATATGATTCATATTTACTGGCCATTTTTCACTATCATCTATTGAAACATTCATTTGTTTTAGATCAAAATGATTTCCTATAGTTAATTGACCATTATGAGGAAATAATTTTGTCGAACCAATATCATCTAAGGATGGTACACCATCAATGAAAATTAATGGTTTTATTTGTACCATATGTTTACATACATATAGATGTTTATTTACTGACGGCACATTTTTAACGATCACTGTTAATATATCCCATTGCTAAGAAAACAAATAAATGTCAAACAGAAAAGTAAATTAATATATATGTACTTTTCGACCATAACTAATGAAGCCGAGTTTTGCAAGTGCTTCTTTAACATAAAATGTTTCACCATAAGTTGGTCGTATTTTCGTAACAACATGAAATTTATGTGGTGGTTTTGTTCGATCAATCATGGGTTCAATTAATGATCGTTGACTACCTTGTTCCATTTTAACTTCTTCTAATGCTGTATAACGAAAATGATCACGAAAATTTGATTGTTTTTGTTGTTTAGGAATATCATAGTTAACATCTTCACGATTATGAAAACCTTTCTTATCAGCTACACGATATGAACGTTTTCGAGCATTATTTATAGCTGATAAAGAAAGGTATCGGATTGATAATACCTATAGACAATAAACAATCATATTCATTAACAAATTGAGAATAATAGAAACAAAAACAAAAAAAAAAGAATCACATGTCTTCCCTACTTTAAAAGTGCCTCGATAGTCGAGCTTGTCGGGTTGGTCCCGGATTCAGTTGAGTCCGTGTCTGAAAATACTCTGTTAACTAGGTTCGGTTCGATCCGAAAACTTTGTACTTAGCAAGCTCCAGTCGTCTCAAAAATGTATAGAGTGCGCTAGGCGCTGAATACAAAGAACGAGAATAAAAATATTTCGTATCTCCAAGGTGATTATCGAATTCCGATTAGAAAATTTGATTAAGAGTATTAAAGTGCGATTCGACCCGACGAACTCTACTTGAACGTAAACATATTCTGAATACGATTGTAAAACTTACATCAGAAGATCTCGTAAGTAAATTGATTATTTTCGAAGTAATCATAATCTAAAGAAGACAATGAATAATGATATGAATCATATATATTTTTTTCTTGCTTGATCATCAAAAATCTGTACACACACAAAGAGAAATGATAAGCAACAAAAAAAAAACCAAAAAAAAAACAAATGTTAATATCTTTTTCGTTTGAAAATATTCGGTGCCCAATCAACAGGATGAGTTTGTTCAGTCTAAAAAAAAACAAAAGCAACATAATAATTAAAATAAAATGAAAACTATTTCAATTATATGTACCGCTGTTTCATCTTCTTTATAGATTTTAATTGTTTTATCAGCTTCACATGTAATTAATCGACTACCACTGTGATCAAATGTCATGGCATAAATACCCATTTCAGGATCGATTGAACCTGGTTGTGGAATGGTTTGAAGACGTTGAAAATTATAACCAGTTTTCCAATCCCAAAAATATAATGAACCATTATCCGCTACAAGAAAAAAGTGACTTAATAGTCAAAAGAAAATAGGAAAAAAAACCTGATGATAAACTTACCACCCGAAACAAGTACATTATCCGCATTAGCAGCCAATGAATTAACAATTGCATTATGACCACTTAAATTTTGAATAAATTCACCTTTCGGAAATTTCCATTCTTTGATATTATCTGGTGAAGCTGATGCCATTGTATGCCTGAATTTTTAAAAAGATAAACAATAAATTTTTGTTATTTTTTTTTTTTTATTGATTTTACCATTTTGGATGAATAGCAAGAGAACGAACACTTTTCTTATGATGTGTTAATGTACAATAAGTTCGTCCAGCAGCAAGATCCCAAAAACGTATTGTACTATCATGACTACCAGTAACAACCTAAAACAAGAATAAAATCAATATAATGAATGGCTCTTAAAGAATTATAATGTTAAAATATTGAAATTTTCTCCTCTATTATTCTCTTGATTGAAACACTTTTTTCTTATCAAAAGATAGCACTTGAAATTCTGCACAAAATAATATAATTTATTTTGATGAATATAGTTTCCTTCATTTTTTTAAAGACTAAACGTAATCGTAAAGAATATTAATTTTCTTTCTGTTTCAAGTTTTTTGACAGAGAATTTTATTTCGTCTATCAATGTTCCCTTTGTTGTTAT